CCCGGAGCTCGGTGCGCGACCCGCCAGTAGGTATAGACGAGTCACCGATCACCGATCATCAACCTCCAGTGCGCAGCTGACGAAGAAAAAGGGCGCAGCCACTTGAGGTGCCACTGGTCAAGCGGCATCTTCTGCGAACGATTTTGTGTGGTCTCAGCTCTTCCTCGTAACTTGTGCTTGCCAGCTACTGCCCTGGGACCCTGAAGCCTCATCAAGAGGTGTGATATTGATTCTAGGCTTACTCCACATCCTCCGACCCCTACATAAACTACTGCGCCTCCAGGACTGCATTTCACGAGGCTTGTCCGGATCATGACACGGCGCTCGACATCGTTCCTGTTTTTTTCGCTGCTGTTATCGTACCTCATGGTTCTCTTTTGTGCCCTTTTGGCGGCATCCTGGCCTGTCTGCAGGCCATATCCGGCCGCCTCGAGGCATCTCGGGCCGTCTTGGTGGCCTTGGCTGCTCGACTGGGCTGCCTTAGCAGCTCGGGGACGCGGACGCACGAACTTCCAGTGAGGGATCGTGGCCTCGGGAACGCGGCTCCCATGTTAACAACATGCGAGGGCTCGTGGCTTCGGGGACAGGGGGCGTACATGGGCTAGTCTGGTAGCAGAGGTGTGGGGGGGGTCCGAATGAGAACGCGCTGCACAGAGCAGCACTTGGCATTCTGACACGCCCACGTCGTGCAGGCACGACGGCGGATCTTTCGTATGGCCTGGTTCTCATGTTGAGTCGTTGTTTGACGGCCCCAGGGCTTGTCGAGGGCCCAAAGGGCCGAACATCGTCACACACGTCCCCTTAGTTCCTGAGGGCGCACCCCTCAGATTTTCATCGCGTCTGGGCTTTCAAGTCTTAGGGATAAGGATACGCTTTGGGGTTGTTACAAGAGGGCGAGTTGAGACAGCGGTAGTTGGCCTTCAGGAGCCTCTCTCGTCGCCACGGCTGGACGCAGCTCGGCAAACTTGTGTGTGTGAGTGTGGACCCCATGAGGTATCTTGGAACCGATTTTGAGCTGCCGTTCTCTGAACTCGCTTCGAATCATCGGCGTTGCTGTCGCCGTCATCATCGCTGCCGTCATCGCTACCACCGTCGTCGTCGCCGTCGCCGTCATCCAGAGGACGAACAAAAATACCAATACCGCTGTTCGTCCTGGGGAATTCTCGTTGCGACGGCTGGACTCTCTATGTGGTCAGAACGCACCCCAGGAGAGGTCCAGGGAGTAACGGTATCGGCACCGCTTCTGCCCTCCACTTCGGGCGGTTGGTGCAGTAGGGTTTCGGTCAAAAAATGTGGCCTCGGACGCCATGATTCTACCCATGCCCCCGCACTGGCCCCTCATGGGTAGCGGGGCGCGAGCAAGGGCACGGATGGTTGATGTGATCTCGTGGGAGGCCTGACGGGGTCGTCGTGCAGGTAGTTTTGGGGCCTCTTGGGGGCTCCCTGGGGGCTTCTTGTAGGCCTTTGAGGTTCTCTTGGGGGTCCCTCAGGGCCTCTTGGGGCGTTCTTGGGGCAGGCTGGGGACGTCTTGGGGCCGAAGGCTCGAAACGGTGCCCTCTGGACTCCCTTTTGGAGCCGTCTTGGGGCCCTCGTGGGCTGTCTTGGGGGCTTCGTGGGCCGTCTTTGGACCCTCTCCGACCCCTCTCGGGGGCCCCTTTCGGCCGTCTGGGGCCACTGTCGGTGCTGCCGCCGCCGCGGCAGAATCTGCGAGGGCTGAGGCAGGGGAGGCGCGTTCTGGACTCGGGCTCGAGCTAAACGGTGCTTTGGCAATTTCGTGGACCGTTTCCGTTTTGACTTTGTTTTTTGCAGCAACTGTGGAATCAAGGCAGAGCTAGGGATGACGAAAACAAAACGATGACGGAAAACACTGTTGAACTCGAGCCCTGTATTCTGGACCAGAGACGGGAAAACCTGGGCAGAGCCGGCGGAGCCCAGCTCCAGCTCCGGGACCGGTGCGGTCGACCTTGCGGCGCGCTGGCTCCTCGCTGGAGAGCTGCGCCGCGAAGGGGTCCTCGGGGCCCGCGCGCGGACGTGCCGGCGGCGCGTCTTGTCGGCACTTCGGCCCCCGCCTTCGCCGGCGAGCTGGCGCGGTGAGCGCGCGCGTGCTCTGGGTTTGCCGGGGCGGGGTGCCCACCCGCGTGCGCCAGCGCCTTCTGCCCCACGTAGTGGTTGCCCACGTTGCCCTGGGAGGTCTCGGACGGACGCTGCGCCGCGCGCGTCGCCTGCGGCGTCGCGCGCAGGGCGTCGCACAGCCGCGGCCCCGACACATGGTGCGGCTTGGGCCGAGCTCCACGAGGCCCGCTCTGGAGCCGTCGGCGTGCTCGGAACGCCGCGGCAGCCTGCGCGGCCCCGCGCGCTCCGCGCCCTGGGCCCCCCTCCCGCGACGCCGCTGGCACAGCTCGGCGGTGCGCCGCTGGCAGAGCCTGGCTGCGAGAGAGGGCGCTGGCGAAGAGGCCGCGCGCCGCCCGGAGGCGTGGCGCCGGGAAGCGTGCGTCGTGCGCGGTGCTTGCTGGGGCCAGGCAGCTGCGGCAGCAGTGATCCGGTAGAGGGAAACAGTTACGGCACACTCCCCCTCCACCCAACCTCACCGTTGGCACGCGCGGGGGAGACTGCGGTCGAAGCGCATCTCATCAGACCCACCTCCAACTTTGAACATTGGGGGGAGGGGGAGCTGTTGACAGATGAATGTGGCATGACTGTTCGCTAATTTATTCCGAGGCCTGTCGCAGTGGCGCGGTTGTGATCGCACTGGTCGCGGTGGTTGCAGTGCGATGGGTGGTCGCTGGGGCTGGAGCCAGGAGGGCCCGCTGAGCCGATCCTGCTATCTCACTTCCGATATGACTCGATCGATCTCACCACCGATCTCACTATCGATCTCCCTATCGACCTCACGAAACCGATCTCGCTATTCGATCTCACTGTCGATCGTGCGGTCGATCTTACTATTGACCTTACTCGGCCGATAGCAACATCGATTTTACATTCGATCTCTGACGCGATCTCAGTCGATTCCACAATGGGGCTCACCATCGATCACACTAGCAATCGATCGCACTATCGACCTCGCTATCGATTGCACTATCGATGCAACTTTCGATTTCACTGTCGATCTCACCGATGAAACTGTCGATCTCACTGTCGACCTCACTGTCGACCCATCTGTCGATGGCACTACCGAACTCACACATTTCGGTCGTTATCGATCTCACGATTGATGTCATTATCGATCGGGACACCGCGGGACACCGCGCGACACTACTGGACACCACGGGACACTGCGGGACACCGCTGGAACACCGCTGGACACCACGGGACACCTCGGGACACCACGAGACCATCGGGACACCACGGCGGGATACCGCGGGACACCATCGGGACAACGCGAGGCACCACGGCGGGACACCCCCAGCCACCACCGCGCGTACACCACAGGGCCGAGCTTTTGCATCCGAATCGCCCTAACGACGGCGGGATGATTCATCTCGCGCGCCCACGGCGAGACACCGCGGGGCACCATCGGGACACCGCGAGGCACCACGGCGGGACATCCCCAGCCACCGTGCGGACACCGACGGGACACCGACGGGACACCGATGGGACATCGACGGGACCTCAATTGGACACCGACGTGACACCGATGGCCACCGCCCGCCCACCTGGGGAGGAGATGTGGACAGTTGTCTTGCCCCGCCCTAGCCACAGGGACGCCACGGCGGGACAACCTGGCCACCGCCCGCCCATCGGGGGAGGTTCGGACAATTGTCTTGCCCCGCCTCAGCAACAGCAGGGTCATTCCCCTCGCCCACCCATGCAGTTTCGCCTCGCCCGCCCGCACGCGCGACACGAACCCGAAACCGAACCCGAATTCCTGGTGTGGGGCTCTCCGTTCTACTTCGATCTCACCCCTTGGCCTCCGATTGTTGTGGCCCGTAGCCATTTTGGCCTTATTCATGCTTCCAAAGAGAAGGCAAACATGGGCGCGTGTACCAGCGTGCCCCGAATCAGCCATGTAAATCACGAGCTTTCGGGGGTAACCAAGAAACAGCAGTCTGAATGCGTGCAGGTAAGCAAGAGTCGCAGCATTCACGAGGCTTACAGCTTCAGGGACACGCAGAAGCTCGGCCAGGGTGGCTACGGTGCAGTGTATCGTGCGACCCAGCGCGCCACGGGCACGGAGCGCGCCGTGAAACGCATGAGCAGTCGAACCCCTCATCAGTCGTCCCGTTGCATGCGAGAGGTCTCGATCATGAATGCTGTAGACCATCCCAACATCGTCAAATTAGTCGAGACCTTCCAGGACAGCAGGAACACATACCTCGTGGTGGAACTGTGCAGAGGTGGGGACTTGTTGTCCAGGATGGTTGCGTATGGCGGGTCGTTCTCAGAGCAGAATACGGCGATGGTACTCCAGCAGATCTTTCGAGGCACGCTCTATCTGCACCAGTGTTCGATTGCCCACAGGGACCTGAAGCCGGATAACCTGCTTTTTGCGAATGACGTCCCCGTGCATGGCAATACCGTAAAGATCATCGACTTTGGCCTTGCACGTACGTGCAACGAAGGGCAGATACTCATGACGAAGGTGGGGGGACTGTTTGAGGAGAAGGGGGTGGTGCGAGGATGGGGAAGAGGGAGGAGGGGAACAATGTTAATCATGATATTATCAGTGATGTTATTCGTAATGATCGAGCTTTTAGGACTATTCAGAATCGTAGTGGCACTAATACTCAACCGTAACACTAGCACTACTACTACTACTGCTACTACGACTACTATTACTACGACTACTACTACTGCTACTACTTCTAATTCTTCTACTACTCCTACCACTACCACTACCACTACCACTACCACTACCACTACCACTACCACTACCACTACCACTACCACTACCACTACCACTACCACTACCACTACCACTACTACCACTACCACTACCACTACCACTACCACTACCACTACCATTTCTAGTACTGCTATTACAACACCAACTACTACTACATCTACTACTACCACTACTACATTTACTACTACTGCCAATTTACTATTTCTACCACCTGCTACTACTACCACTGCTACTACTACTATTACTATTACTACTACTACTACTACTACTACTACTCCTACTCCTACTACTACTACTACTACTACTACTACTACTACTACTACTACTACTACTACTACTACAACTACTACGACTGAAGAGTATTCGTATTCATATAAATGACATTTACAATAATCATAAGACGACTAATAGTAGTCATCATCATACTTTCCTTAACGATAAATCCAAGACTGATGCGAATACTTGACGATCACTGCTACGAATATTACTGATAGTCGTACATATACCAATAGTATGTGTAATCACTATTACTATCACTAGTAGTACTACTGCTGATACTATCAGTTATCATACTCGCAATGCTACTAACACTACTTATAATAATCATAATCATCCCACTAACAATGCTAATACTGCCACCACTACTAGTAATAACCCTATTCTTACTACTGCTACTTCCAATGCTAACTATGATAACAATCATACCACTCGTAGTATCATAAATCATAATAATACGAGTGGTGATACTTAAACGGGCAATAGCAACACTACTTGTCGTATTCGTACCATTCATTTGGGTAGTGCTACGAATACTAACGATACTAGTGATATAGCAGTACTGCTAAGGCTAACGCGCTGAGCAATATGAATACTAGTACTAATGTCCTTTCGCATGGCAATATTACCCAATCAGAGCTTGCCTCTGTAGGGGTCCTAGCGGATTCATATGGTTGGGTGAGCTGCGGCGCCGATTTGGTGGCCGGCGGCCGGGTGCCCGGGGGTGCCTGGGGGTGCCCTGGGGTGCCCGGGGGTGCCCGGGGGTGCCCGGGTGGCCGGGTGCCAGGGTGCCCGGGTGCCCGGGTGCCCGTGGGTGCCCGGTGCCCCAGGATTTCGGTGGCCAGGTGCCCGGGTGCCCGTGGGTGCCCGTGGGTGCCCGGGTGCCCGGGTGCTCGGGGGTGCCCGGAGGTGCCCGGGGGTGCCCGGGTACCCTATAGCCATATAGCCCTATAGCCTTAAAGTGCTATAGCCCAATAGCCCACTAGCCCAATAGCCCAATAGCCCATATAGCCCATATAATAGCCTCATAGCCTAATAGCCCTATAGCCCTATAGCCCTATAGCCCTATAGCTCTATATCTTTATGGCCCTATAGCCCTGGACTCCTAGAGCCCGATAGCTCTAGAGCCCTATAGCCCTATAGCCCTATAGCTCTATAGCCCTATGGCTCTATAGCCCTATAGCCCTATTGCCCTACAGCCCTATAGTCCTATAGCCCTTTTAGACCAATAGCCCTATAGCACTATACCTCTATAGCCATATAGCCCATATAGCCCTATAGCCCCATAGCCCTATATCCCTATAGTACTATAGCCCCATAGCCCCAACAACAAAAGTTTTTTTTGTTCTCTGGTATCATGGATACTAGTATTAATGTCCTTTCACATAATAATGGGAATGCTCATAATGATACAAAGCATGCCATTGCTCCGAGGCTGGCTGCGGAGGCAGCTGGGGTGAGTGGGTCGGGGGCAATCTCAGGGTAGGGGGCAAGAGGGAGGGAGGCCTTCATTCTCTTCCGCCCCCTCTGCTTCCAACTCCTCCTGTAGCCTCTCTCCCCGTAGTGGCTCCAGTCCCAAACAGCTCTGTGCCACGAGGTGGGGACGCCGATCTACGTGGCGCCCGAGGTGCTGGCGGGCAGGGGCTACGACAAGCAGTGCGACAACTGGAGCACGGGCATCGTCGCCCACGTGCTCCTGTGTGGCTACCCGCCGTTCCGGTTGGGCGGCGAGACGTGTGCGCACGTGCACCGAGATCCCGGCCAGGCCCTGGCCCAGGCGGGGCCTGGCCAGGCTCGGGGTGCACGTGCGCACTGCTCTCTGCCCTGTCCAGGGGCAGATCCGACGAGAGCATACTGAGAAAGGTGGCGAGGGGGCGCATCGACTTCGTGCCGAAGCACTGGGCGCGCGTGTCCCCGAGCGCCCAGGCGCTCGTCTCGAGGCTGCTGTCCCCCGACCCGTGGAGGAGGCCGACGGCTGCGCTGGCCCTCCGGGACGACTGGCTGCGGCACGGGGCAGAGGCAGACGCGGAGAGGGCCATCCTGGCGGCGCGCACCAGGGAGGTGAGCGGGGGCGAGGAGTGGTTCAGAGGGGCCAACAGCATGTGGTGCGTTCTTGAAATGGCCTCGTCCTCGAGGATCGAGGGAGCTGGCATCTCGTCGTCGGCGGAAGGCGGCGGAAGGCTGGCGGAAGGTGGCGGAAGTAAAAGTTGCCCTCCCAATACATGCGTTTTTTTGGATCCAGGGTTTCCAGAACCCGCCATATTTACCGTAGCACCCCGCAGTTGCGGATAAGAGTGATGGGGCGGCGAGGACGTCGTCAGTCTGCGAGGCTCTGAAGAAGCCCGCCGCAGGCGCCTAACTTTTACAAATTATGCATTGAGCCCGCCGCAGGCGCCGCTTTTTTCGTCAAAGCAATGTGGGTGGATCGCGGGGTGGGTCGCGGGTGGGTCGCGGGCTGGGTCGCGGGTGGGGTCGCGGGTGGGTCGCGTATGTGTCGCGGGTGGGTCGCGGGGTGGGTGGTGGGTCGCGGGGTGGGTCGCGGGGTGGGTCGCGGGTGGGTCACGGGGTGGGTTGCGGGGTGGGTCGCAGGGTGGGTCGCGGGGTGGGTCGCAGGGTGGGTCGCGGGTGCGTCGCGGGCGGGCCACGGGGTGGGTCGCGGGGTGGGTCGCGGGGTGGGTCGCGGGGTGGGTCGCTGGGTGGGTCGCGGGGTGGGTCGCGGGGTGGGTCGCGGGTGGGTCACGGGATGGGTCGCAGGGGGGACGACGATAACAACAACAACCACCACCAACAACACCAACAACAACACCAACACCAACACCAACACGAGCACCAACACCAACAACACCACTACCAACAACAACAACAGCAACAACACTACCACCAAGACCAACAACACCAACAACAACAACACCAACAACACCAACAACAACATCAACACCAACAATAGCAACAATCTTTCTAAGACTGTTCGCTCTTACTCGCCCGTGTGTCAGTCAAAACGAGTTCCTCACACCCTCGATACCCGCCTTTTTTGTCTTCGATCACACCCCCTTTGGGGGGGTTCTTTCTCTTTGCGGGGGGCGGCGGGCTTAGTCAGGCGGGCAAACCTGAACGGGCGGACAATCCTTTGTGGGCGTACATGTGCCCGCCATTGGAATTGGTGTGGGTCCTGCAAAAAAGTGGATGGGGGAGAACGAGGGGGAGTGGGAGGAAGGGAGGGGGAGGGACGAAGGAAGAGGGAAGACGCCAGGAGAGAAGGAGCGCAGAGGGGGGTGGTTGATTAGAGGCAGAGAGAGAGAGAGAGAGAGAGAGAGAGAGAGAAAGAGATATACATATAAGAGAGGTGAATACAGAAAGGGGGAGAGAGAAAGAGAAAGAGAGAGAGAGAGAGAAGGGAGAGATAGAGAGAAAGAGAGAGAGAGAGAGAGAGAGATAGAGGGAGCGAGGAGACAGGAGAGGGGAGGGATAAGGGAGGGGGGGAGGAGGGATAGGGGATAGGGCAGAGAGGCATAAGGATGAGGGAAGAGAGGAGGGAGGGAGAAGGGAGGAGAGGAGGGAGGAGGGAGGAGGGAGAGGGAGGAAGAGCAGGAAGGTAAGAGCGTGAACGCTCGAGGAAGTTCTAGGCGAGCGCCGTTCCTGAAGGAAATCTCGGGCTGGAGCCCACGACGGGCGGGCGATCCCCTGACGGGCGGGTCGGGCGGGTGGGGCATTCAAGCGGGATGCCTGAGTATGGCGCGAGCGCGGTTACCAAGTAATTTGTAACGGCGTCCTTGGCGCAGCGTGTTTCCTGAGCGTCGAAAGCGCGATTCCTGAATATCTTGCATGGAAGTTGCAGGCGAGAGCGCAATTCCTGAATAAATTGTGAAGGGTTCTCTGGCGGGAGCGGGGGTCTTGATTGAATTGTGAGGAAGTCTTGGTTCAATTGCGAGGAAGTCTCCAGCGGGAGCGCCGTTCCTGAGTAAAGTGTGAGGAAGTCTCAGATGGGAGCGGGCGTCCTGACTAAACTGCGAGGAAGTCACCGGTGGGAGCACCGATCCTGGGTAAATTGTAAGGAAGTCTCAGGAGCGGGGTCCTGAGTAAATTTGGAGGAAGTCTCAGGCGGGAACCGTTGTTGTTGTAATCCGAGGGGCCAGGGGCGCAGTTTGAGTACCAGGATTTTCCCAGTCAAAAAAAACGGTGCGAGCGCCGAGGGGCGCATTTGGATGGAGAAAAACAGTATGCACCAGTGAGGGGGGATCAGCAATAATGATTTTTCATAAATGAGAGTTCAACAACACCACCACCAACACCAACAACAACACCAACAACACCACTAACAACAACAACAACAACAATAGCAATCACTTTACCCGAACGCTCAGTGTTCTCACCAGTGCCAGGGTTTTCATGCGACGCCAGCCAATACCCCCACTTTGTGGGGGGGCAGTGCAAGCTCTACCAAATATCCACACGACTCTTCGCCACCACCCACACCCAGCTTCCCGCCCTATGACGTTCGGACACTTCACTTCGTGGCCTGCGGACGACCGTGGCTACTACACTGGCGTGGAGTACACACCCACAGAAGTTGTTAAGCCTACGTTCGTACACCCACAGAAGTTGTTAAGCCTTGTTAACCCACAGAAGTTGTTAAGCCTTCCACAGAACATCTGTTGCATATGATGCATATGGTACATTTGTGTCCCGCATGGTATTATTTGACAGGGATGATGGCCCTGGCAGGTGCGCAACCGTTGTCGCAGAAGTTCGAAAAAGTTGCTCGCAAAAGCCCGTTTGACAGAAATGTTTAAAAAGTGTTGGGTTTCCTACGAATCCGCAAGAGCGCGCGGGATGAGATTTTGACATTTTTTGTTGAAAAACCATTGGTTTTTTGATGTTTTTATGTTAAAATCGTTCCGAACACTAAGCTTTTGGAAGGATTTCGTCTTGCGCGCGCGAATGTCCACTTTACCTTATTTTTTGCAAGGGATTCTTGAAATTTGATTATATTAGAACAAGAAATGTCATTTTATAGTGTTTTTTGCCAGGGAAAGCGGATTACAACAAAACAACCGGATCTGATCACATCGTTTTACCTGAGGCTTCCTCACGAAAATGATGAAAATGTAGCTGCGGCCTAGGCGGCGCAGGGGGGGCGTGCACCAGGGGGCCCAACAATAATTATTCTTTAGAAGTAATAATATTCAATTACTAGCACGTGGGGACACTCCGTTCTCACCAGTGCCAGGGTTTTCATAGGAGGCGGGCAATACCCCCACTTTGTGGGCGGGCCGGTTCAAGCTCTACCAAATTTCCAAACGACTTTCGCCACCACCCACACCCAGCTTCCCGCCCTATGACGTTCGGACACTTCACTTCGTGGCATGCGGACGACCGTGGCTACTATTCAGGGCCCCGCGGCCGACGACGACGGCGTGCGCGCGCAAAGAAAAAACGAATGTGTCCCGCATGGTATTATTTGACAGGGATGATGGCCCTGGCAGGTGCGCAACCGTTGTTGCAGAAGTTCGAAAAAGTTGCTCGCAAAAGCCCGTTTGACAGAAATGTTTAAAAAGTGTTGGGTTTCCTAAATCCGCAAGAGCGCGCGGGATGAAATTTCGCTTTTTTTTTTTTTTTTTTTTTTTTTTTTTTTTGAAAAACCATTGGTTTTTATGTTTTTATGTTAAAATCGCTACGAAAACTAAGGTTTTGGAAGGATTTCGTCTTGCGCGCGCGAATGTCCACTTTACCTTATTTTTTGCAAGGGATTCTTGAAGTTTGGATATGTTAGAACAAGAAATTTCATTTTTTTTGCAAGGGAAAGCGGGCGTCAACAAAACAACCGGATCTGGATGACATCGTTTTACCTGAGGCTTTCTCACGAAAATGATGAAAACGTGGCTGCGGCCTGGGCGCGGCGGGGGGGGCGTGCACCAGGGGGCCCAACAATAATTATTCTTTAGAAGTAATAATATTCAACAACATCAAGACCAACAACAACATCAACAACACTACCAACAACAACAACAACATCATCAACACCAACATCAACTCCACCACCAACAGCAACAACACGAACACCAACGACAACAACAACAGCAACAACAGCAACACCAACAACCAACAGCAACACCAACAACAACAACAAACACAACAACACCACCACCAACAACAACAGCAACAACAGCAATAACAACAGCAACAACAACAGCAACGACAACGCAACAAACATAATCTTCACCACGGATCCCCACTAGAGCCATATACCCAGGGACGTGAATGACGGTTCGGCCCCCTCACTCTGATTTATCTTTTCATATCATTTTCATATTTATATACATGTGTACATTTGTTTATTATTGTATATCTATGTACATGTACTCCGTCAGCTTCCGCCGAACTGCGCTTGAACGCGGGCACTCACTCGTGCACGCAGGGCCGCGGAGAGCGTACATGCTCACAAATGTCTCTTCTCGCCCTGAGTGATGGCCTTCCCAGAGGCCGCCTCAGAAAACCCCCGGTCCCCTCCGAGAGGCGCCTTGCGTCCATGAGGAAGGCCACCCCAACTTAGGTGTTCGATCATGGAGTCCTTGTCGAAAGTAACCGCCCAGCTTCCGTGCAGAAGACCGCTCAAAACTGCCGACGACCACCGGAAATCGCAGAAGACCGCCGAAGACCGCCGACGACCGTCAGAACACCGCCGAGGACCACCCAAGGCGATGGGTAACAAGGGTCTGCGACCATTTGCGAACCGTACTCCTACGGGTCCAATCGACGCTGGGGTATCGGACGTTCCCGCTGGGATCCACTTGGCCGCAGACATTCTTCAAATTCTGACACCCGGCCGGTCTTTCTGAAATCCGACCTGCAAGGGTATTCCAGACGGCATGATAATCGGCCCCCTTTGGATTCGGGGGGCCCCTCGCTCGCCCCACCCCTCCGCGTGCGCGAGCGCGCCGCCCGTCATCCCCTGCGGCCTCGTGGAGAACCTGCGCAGGTTCCGGTCGCGCGACGTGTTCTCGAAGGCGGTGCTCCACGTGGTGGCCGGGCTGCTGGACGACGCCGAGGTCGGGGGGGGGGGGCGGCAGCGCTGCGTGGGGAATGGGCTCATGGGGCAGCGCCGGGGGAACGTTCCGGGCTCGAGGTTGGGAGGTTCTGCGGGCGTCCCTGTCGGTTCTTGGACGCTTCCCCGCCTCGGGATGCCTTCAGCAGACGCGCTTCGCCGAGAGGCGCCTGGAACTGCCCGCATCGTCCCGAACGGCCTCTAGAGGCCCGAGTTGTGACCTTTCATCGGCGTCGCCCCAACATACTTATTCTATACGTGCGTCGCCCCCCCAGGGGCGACGCGCGCACCGAGAAATCTTACAGTACATGCGTCGTGGCGGGCGCTTTCTGGCCGCACCGCTCGCGAAACGACATGCTACAAGGTGGGTATGCTGTATGTTTGGGTCAGACGCGCGCCTCCAAGGAGAACATGTAGTACTAGTATGTCTTTGTGCGCCTTGATGTGAGGCCCCTCCTTCTGCCCTCCTCTCGTTAATTCAAGCTGTGCGCGGCCCGCTTAGCTTCGACCGGAAAAGGTGTGCTCTCGACCCGCGGATCAAAAATAGTACATCTTTGTGCGTCCCACTTCAGGGGCGACGTCGGGAGGGGGAGTGGGCCCAGGGGGGATGCGTCGTTGCCCTCAAGCGCCCACCATCGGGCCCCGCAGCCAGCCCCGCCCCTCGGCGTGCGGATGTGCGGTCGGGGGCCCGCTGCCTCTCTGCCTGTCGGCGCTGCCTCGACGCTTCCAGCTCGACGCTTTTCCGCCCCTGAGCCAGTCCGCCCCTTCTATGGGGGTGGGCCAACGTGCGCCAACACCGTTGTGGAGGACGATCAGTGGAGAGGAAGCATGTCGCCAGATACTTTCCGGATGTCTAGAGCCTGTGTTGAAACTGTTCAAGCAATGTAACAAAAAACATGTTTTAAACATGTCCAGGACATTTTCCCGACATTTTAAATACATTTTTCATTCGATGGTAGCACTGTTAGGGTGTCCGTTGTCGTGGCATCCACAACAATGCCGCCAATCCAGTGCGGTCTGCCCAGAATTTCGAGGAGAATGCCGCCGTGGCGACGAGGGCTCTCCAGGACGAGCAGCGGCATCGGAACCGTGCATGGACAAGGAGTTCGGACCCTGCAGCGCAAGATGTCCCCTGGACCCTCCAAGTCAGTCTTGAGGGTGCGGCAGTGCAGGGGGCTTGAGTGGATTGACCAATTCCTAAAATCATCACCCGTACTGACATTCACACTGATATCGGGGACGGGGGGGCGATCAGAATCCCCCTGTCCATCTACTGTATTCCCTATTCCGCAATCAAGTGGGGGTGGTCTGTCTGATTGGGGGAGGGGGTCGGATTCGGGCTGTCTTGGAGGGCCTGGGGGGCCCGGGCAAACGGCCGCCCTCTCGTGGCTGGTCCGGGGGGCTCCAAGATGGCACGCCCGGGAGGGTTGTGCCCCCCCCCCCCCCCTTCTCCTCCTATCACGAAGCCTGGGGTGCCCTTTCCCCCTCCGACGCCGCTGCCCCTCGCGAGGTCTGCCCCCTCCGCAGCGCCTTCCTGGCGCTGGACGTCGACGGGGACGGGCGGCTCTCCCCCACCGAGCTGCGCGCGGGCCTCGCGCGGAGCGGCCTCGGGGACCTCTCGGAGCGGGAGCTGCGGGAGATCCTGGACGGCGTGGACGTCAACGGCAACGGCACCATCGAGTACACCGAGTTCTTGGCGTCCACGGCTGCCAGCGGCGCAGGAGGAGGAGGAGGAGGAGGAGGAGGAGGAAGAAGAGGAGTACAAACAATACTAGTTAATAGTACCATGAATACTGATAATACTACAGCGAATACTAAGCAACATAATACTACTAAGAATAAGAAGGACATTCATAATCAGATTAAGAGGACATATACAACTACGAATGCTAACACTAAGACACATACGCAGCATGATACGACTAGTAATAAGACGAGTACTAATATTAATACTAAAACTAAACAGAACAGCACTAATACTCATAAGAATGCGAGCACTAATACTCATAAGAATGCGACTAATCATATCAAGAATAATAGTAAGCATGCTAAGGCGAATATCAATACTAGTACTAATGATACTACGAAGAAGAAAAAGCATACTCATAAAACTAAGAAGAATACTAAGAAGAAGAGGAGGAGGAGGAGGAGGTGGGGGCGCCGGGGGGGCGGCCTTCTGAGAGGGCGGAAGGGGGGGGCACCTCAGAGGGCCCGAGGATCCTGGGAGCGGGGGCCCGGGAGGCTTCCGAGAGGAAGCCCCCCCCCTGCCTTCGATCTGCACGCAGGAAGTGGGTACTGAAAGAATGGGTACAATGCCCAACAGCGGATCCTGTTCATTTTGAACAGGGCTCGCTGTCCACGCCGCCGCGGCCTGTGTCCATTCGAGACAGGAGGCCGCCTGCCCAACAGCGGCCGCTGTTGGTTTAGGACAACATTTGCTGTTGGGCATTGTACCCATTTTTTCGGTACCCATTTCGGGCGTCCAAATTGTTGTCGCTTCGCGAATCCCCACCAGCCCATCCAGAAACGATGCCCAGAGGAATTGCCTCGATCAGAGAAGTGGGCAGCACACAGAGGAAGCCATTATGAGACATCTTGGGATATCTTAAGCCATCTTGGAGGTCATTTTGGGCTCTCCCAGACGCTCTTGGAGTCATCTTAATCCGTGCCCCCCCCCAAGAGGCCTCCATGTGGCTAAAACCTGTGTAGAATCAATGATTAGGCATTCTCGCCGAGGCCTCTTGGAGCATCGTGGGTGCATCTGGGGGGGCTCTTGGGGCCTCTTGGGGGTCTCTTGGGGGCCTCCGGGGGGCCTCTTGGGGGCCTCTTGGGGCCATTTTGGGGCCATCTTGGGACCTCTTGGGGCTTCCTGGGCGCTTCTTGGGGCCATCTTGGAGGAGATCGATCAAACAAGAGGGGGGGTGTAATTAGCGTCCCCCCTCGGAAGCCCCTAAAATCGCCTCTTGGACCCCTCTTGGAACGCTCTTGGAGTGCTCTTGGGCGCTCTTGGGGCCGTCTTGGGGCTCTTTTGGGGCTCTATTGGGGCCCTCTTGGGCCATCTTGGAGCCATCTCCAGGCCTCGGATGGCCATCGGAAGCGAAAAGGCGAGAAAGCAAAAATCATTGATTTTCCTTAGGTTTTGGGACGATTTTGGCCTCTTCGGGGCCTCCTTGGGGAGCTGTTTGGCCACTTGGAGTTATCTTGGGGCCGTCTTTGGGCTTCTTGGAACCATCTTAGGAGCCATCTCGAGCGATCTTGCGCTATCTTGAGCCATCTTGGAGCTCATCTTGGGTTCTCTGAGGCGCTCTTGGAGCCGTCTTGGGCCATCTGGGACGCTCTAACTACCCGCGGCCCCCCCCGTCCAGGTCCTGGGGAGGGGGTAGGGGGAGGGGTAAACCCCTCCCCAAGGGGGAAGAGGGAGGGGTGGAAGAGGATCTGCTCTAGACCACCTACGCCCAGAGGGCTGGTGGGATTCGAGGCCCCGCCGCCCTCTCGGCGGCCCGCCCCCCCGCCCTCCTCTCGCGCCTCCCCGCTCGCGGGGCGCCGCCGAGGTTGACATGAGCAAGTGCTGGGAGGAGGGCATGTGCCAGCACGTCTTCGACGTCTTCGACTGGGACGGCGACGGGCGCATCTCCCGGCAGGACCTCATCTCCGTCGTGCAGAACCGTCGCCTGTCCGAGGCCATGGGCGTCGAGAGTCAGGCCATTGTCGACGCACTCGACAGCAGCGGCGACGTGAATCTCAACCTCACCGAGTTTAAGAGGATGGTGTCTAGATGACCACACAGTTCTCGCGAACTGCCAATATTGAAAACGGCGCCGTGAACGTATTTGCTGCATGGGCCTGCAGCTCAGCAGCAGTGAGCACAGGTGTCGACCAAAACGCGGTTTAAGACCACCTCGTGGGCAGTTTGAGTTTGCTTCCGTTTCCACTCTATTCTCCTGCTGTGGGTTACAGGGAGCCGATCGCGATTCCAGAGGTGCACAAGAGTTATTTTTTGTTGTAATTTCATTTTCTGCTGAAGTTTCGAACAAAAACACGCAACATGCTGTTTCGGTCGACCCCAGCACGTTCACGCATCCTGATGGCCGTTTCAGGATGGACCTCAAGTGAATCTATGAAGGACTGCATGCTGTTATTCTACAGGTGTATGAGTTTCTCCCTATCTGGTGTTCTTCACAGAAGTAGTGGAATTACGATTGACATCCCCGGATAATCATTGACTGCGGTTTATTGTTCCGGAATGATAATGGAGGCGGGGTGGGGGGCTGCTTTTCAAAGTGCGTTTTGTAATATTCAACCCTGGCTAATCATTCCGACATCTTGAATTTCGATTCATTTCTGCGGAATGGTAAGAATTGAGCCAGGGAGGGAGGGTCACCGATCGATCCGCCATGCAATAATCAATTGGGGTCTTCATCTCAACAAGATCATTCGAGGTCCATCGTCCCGTGACATTGCTTTTTCTATGTTCCCTCGAAAGTGTAATCTTATTTTGGACAGGCCTTACGGCTGGTGCCGCCCACCCTGAACCACGACGACGACGACGAAGATGACGACGACGACGACGACGACGACGACGACGACGACGACGACGACGACGACGACGACGACGACGACGACGGCGACGGCGACGGCGACGGCGACGGCGACGGCGACGGCGACGGCGACTACGACGAGCGATTTCGGGGACCTCTTCGGGGTAGTTTTGGGGCCTCGTGGGACGCTCTTTGGGGCCTCTTGGGAGCCTCGTGGGGCCTCCTCGGGGTCTCTTTGGGGTCTCTTCGGGTCTGTTGGGGGGCTTCTTGGAAGCCTCTGGGGGCCTCCTGGGAACCTCTCAGGCTGAGGGCTCGAAATGTCCGTTCGGTTCCCCCGTCTGAGTTCCCTCTTGAAGCCGTCTTGGGGGCCATTTGGGCTGTATTGGAGGCCTCTTGGGCGATCTTGGGGCCTCTTGGTTCGTTTGGGGGCCCTCTTGGAGGCCTCTTGGGCGATCTTGCCTCTTGGGCTGTCGTGGAGCGTCCAGAAGCCGACATGGCGAGAACGCCAAAACCTTTCAAAAACTGAAGGGATTTTTGCCCCTTGGGTCCCTCTCGGGAGTGCTCTTGGCCTCTTGGGGCGTTTTGAAAACCTCTTGAGCCGTCTAGAGGCTACTTTGGCGTCTTGGACCGATAGCTCGGCGATTCGGGGCCCTCGGGCATCTTGGGGCACTCTTGCTACGTCGTGGGGCTTTTCCGGGTGGGGACCCCCCCCCCCGGGACCGCCCCCCTGGCGGGGAAGGGA